CACAGTACGTTCAAATACCACAAAACCCACATATTACCACTAACACAACTCACACCTCTCCTAGTGACTAAGGTATTTTTACCACTCACCCAAATAAACACACACACGTGGACCATATCGACGCCCACGAGCGATATGTTCCTCCCGTATATGTCGTTTCTGAAACTACCTTTGCAGCGCCTACCACGGTCAGGGTGCCTTATGAGATTGACCAATACGCTGAGATGGAAAGGGAAGCTAGGTGTAAGGAAGAGGAGTTAGTGTCTGAGCAGCAACAAATCTTGAGAAACAAATGAAGAACCTCCAAGTCGCTCGGGGAAGTGAAAGTTTGGACTACGAGGATTTGTGCATCCATTCAGATGTTGATATTTCAGTAGGGTATAAGCCTCCAACGTTTGATATTTTCGACAGGACGGGTGATCCCCACGCATATCTGGGGGCATACTGTGACAAGTTAGTTGGAGTGGGAAGTAACGAGCAGCTGAGAATGAAGTTGTTCATTAGGAGCCTGATGGGAGAAGCACATACCTGGTATACTCGACAAGATCCGCAAAACTGGAGAACCTGGCAAGATATTGCGGAAGATTTTATGAATCGCTTTCGATTAAACACGGATATAACCCTCGATAGGTTCCCACTAGTAAACCCGCAGAAAAAGCCATCCGAGTCACTCTAAGAATATGCACTTCGGTGGAGGTCAGAAGCCACTAGGGCACAACCTCCATTAGACGGCAATGAATTAACCAAGTATTTCATTGGGGCCTAGGAAGGGATATACTTTGAAAAAATGATGGGAATGATGGGACAGAAATTCCTTGAACTCATCAAGATAGGAGATTTCTTGGAAGAAGGTATAAATTCTGAAAAAGTACAATCCATACCTGCACTACAAGCGTCCAGTAAGGCCATCTAATTAGGGCCAATCGGTAGCGGAGAGAAGAAAATCGAAGAGGTATCGGTAGTCGTCCCTTACTATCAACCCAACCCATATCATGGAAACACTTCCAATTCCCCAAACAACCATTCACCACCACCCGCTTACGCTCCAGTCTATAACCAGCCATATTACCACCCCCAACCTCAATATAACCATCATCGAGCCCCCAACGACCATATGCTCATGTCCAAACCACCACTCACCAAAATAGACCAACTTATGCACTATGCCCTCGTCCTAATTTTAAATAGAGGGGTCCTAGAAACTATACCCTGATTGTTGAGCATCTGGCCCAATTATTCAAAAGATTGAGGAGGGAAAGATTGATACATCCGGTGGAAGGAAAGGTTCCTGAGTATCCCTCTAAGTATTTTGATGCAACCAAAAGGTGTGTGTACCATTCAAACGTTCTTATACATGATACTGAAGATTGTTTTAAGCTAAAAAATGAAATCGAAACATTGATCAAGGGCAGAGCCATATGCCCAATGTGAATCATAATCCGCTGCCAAATCACCGAAATCAAGGGGTCAACATGATCACTTTGGATGATGAATATGATTTGAAATGACCTATTGTCACAATAGGAAATGCAGAGGCCATAAGGATCCCACCTCAAAGGACTCCGATGATCACATTACAAGTAAGACCCACGGTGACAGTTTAGACTTATCAGCGATAACTTGCGTTGCCATAGAGGATGAGGAGAGCTGGGAATACAAAATTGTCCTATGGACATACCAGCAAAAGGGGAAGGCCAAGATGACAGACTCCGCAGTAGCCCACGGTATGACTAGGCCAAGGACATGTTATGCTCCTGAAGATGCAAATCGAGGGAACTTGGGAAGAGAGCAGATTCAAAGAAGGAACATAACAGACCCAGAAGCTGCAAAATTCTGGAAGAGAATGGCGACCAAAGAGTACTCCGTAGAGGAGCAGCTGAAGAAAACTCCAACGCAAATAACAATCATGGATTTGCTGATGAGCTTCGACAGTAATAAGGATGCCTTGATGAAAGTACTATGTGGGGTTAGTGTGCCAAGCAATACCACCAGTGAGGCGTTGGCCGCAATAATTGGGAAAATAGTCAAAGCAAATATGATCACTTTCAAAAGAGATGAACTTCCTGTTGAAGGCGTAAGTCATGACAAAGCTCTTCATATAACTATAAAATATGGGGACAAGGTGGTGTTCCGAGTGCTGGTTAATGGAGGGTCAGGAGTCAACATCTTTCTGCTCTCTACTCTGCAGGAGTTGGGAATCCATCTGATGGAAGTAAAGGAAAGCCATGTAAGGGTAAGGGCATTTGATGGTTCATGAAAGGATGTTATTGGAGAAATTTATTTGTCTTTGCAGATTAGGCCGGTTGAATTTCCCATATTGTTTTAAGTAATGGATATTTCCTCTTCATAAAAATTGTTGCTAGGAAGGCCCTAGATAAACATGGCATGGGTTGTCCCATCCACCCTACACCAATGCATGAAATTTGATTGGGAATGTCAAGAGATCGTGGTCCATGGCGTCAATCAGCTTATTTGGAGCACGCAATCCCGTTAATTGAAGGGCTAGACGGGGTTCCTTTCCATTTAATGGAAATCATGTAGACCGCCAAAATAGAAGAGACTGAACAAAACATGGGAATGTTGTTGCCGTATAGATCTAACATGGCTATGAGGGAGATGATGAAAAATGGATACAGACCAAGAACCAGATTAGGAGCCAGGTCAGACAGGATCAGAGAGCCAATTGAACCTAATGGGTAGTAAGGAACGACCGGCATAGGATATCAGCCTCCGATGAGGAAGACTCATACCATTAGTTCCGGGAAAAAGGTTTTTGTGCCACAGCATGTTTCGGGCACGGGCCAGAGTTTAGTACCAGAAGATGATATCATCGACGGAATGTGAAGGTTGTTTTGAATATGATTCAAGAATGATGTGAAGGAACTAGTATCAAGACACCGACCCTCAGGGATATCGAACCAGGAGAAGAGCTAAGGAATCGGAATGCCAGTCTATCTTTGGTTCGTGGGGAGTCTTAGTAGTGTGGAATTGTAAAAGATTTCTTTTGAAAAGCACACAGTCAATTGAGGCCTGCATTGTGTCTGTACCTTTTATGTTAATTGCCTCTTTTGAACGCTTAATCGTTCTGCATTTGATGAAATAAAAAGAATTGTTTTCTTAAAATATTGCAACTTTATTTAGCGCTTCATTTATACTTAATATTTCCTTTCAGTAATCAAAACGATAAAAACCTGCATTCTGCGATTGTGACATATAAAAAAATCGTCGAGCAAAATGACCCAGATTACGAGGAATAAGACGAGAGTATAATGCCAGAAAGTCTCCCCCAAGAGATCAAATAGCTGGAGAGTCAGAAAAAGCCCACCTCAAAGAAACGGAAGTGGTCAATCTCGAAAGTGAAGAAGACGTGAAAGAAACCAGAATCAGCATTCTAGAAGCTAAGTAGAGGGAAAAACTGGTTGAGCTCCTCCAACAACACATCGATGTGTTCGCATGGTCATATATTACATGTCGGGATTAAGTACTGACATTGTCTTGCATCGACTGCCTACCGATCCTGCCATATTGCCGGTCAAGCAAAACCCATAAAATTCAAGCATGATTTGAGTCTGATGATAAAGGAGGAAGTAACCAAGCAGATAGAGGAGAATGTGGTAAGGGTCACCAATTATCCCAACTGGTTGGCAAATATCACCCCAATACCCAAGAAAGACGAGGAGATCAGGATCTGCGTGGATTACCGAGATCTCAACAAAGCTAGTACAAAGGACGACTTCCCTTTACCAAATATCCACGTCCTCATCGACAAATGTTCGAAGCGTGAACTACAGTCGTTCATGGATTGTGTCGCTGGGTACCACCAGATCTTGATACATGAGGAAGATGCAAAAAAGCCAGCCTTTACCACACCTTGGGGAGTTTAGTGCTATAGAGGCATGTAGTTCGATCTCAAGAAAGTCGATGCCACCTACATGAGGTCCATGACGATCCTTTTTCACGACATGATTCACAAGGAGATCGAAGTATATGTGGATGCTATCATCATCAAGTCTCAAAAGTGACCAGCACACGTGGACGATTTAAGAAAAATTTTCGAGTGCCTGCGGAGGTACAGCCTGAAATTAAACCCGGCAAAGTGTGTGTTCGGAGTCCCTGCTGGAAGATTATTGGGCTTCATCATAAGTAGAAAAGAGATAGAACTGGACCCATCAAAATCAAGGCCATTCACGAATTACCACCGCCCAAGAGTAAGAAAGATGTAATGAATTACCTGGGCAGACTGAATTATATCAATCGTTTCATAGCCCAGTCCGCGGTAATTTGTTAACCCATTTTTAAGTTGCTGAGAAAGGATGCTGCCACAAAATGGACAGAAGAATGTCAGAAAGCCTTCAACAGAATTAAGGAGTATTTGTCAAATCCACCTATGTTGGTTCCCCTCGAGCCTGGGAAGCCATTGTTACTAAATTTACCAGGCTTGGATACGCCTTTGGATGTGTGATGGGACAGAATGACGAAACTGGGAGAAAGGAACAGGCCATCTACTATTTAAGTAAGAAGTTCATGCCATGCAAAGCCAAATACACTTTGATAGAACACACTTGCTATGCTTTAACTTGGATCGCCCAGAAACTAAGGCATTATATGTTAGCATACACCACGCATCAAATATCTCAGCTCGACCCGCTCAAATACAACTTTCAGAAGATGATGCCTACCGGAATGCTAGCTAAATAGCAAATTCTCTTCAATGAATTTAACATTGTGTACATGACTCAGAAGGCTATCAAGGGCAAGATCTAGCTGACCACCTCACAGAGAATCCACTGGATAGGGATTATGAGCCACTCACTACGTAATTTCCCAATGAAGAGGTATTATTTTTTGAAGAAGGTATTGCAGAATCATACCCCGGATGGAGAATGTTTTTCAATGAAGCAGCAAGCTTCAAAGGAGTCAGAATTGGGGCGGTCCTAATTTCGGAATCCCGACAGCACTATCAGGCATCGGCAAAGATAAGATTCCCTTGTACTAATAATATGGCTGAATATAGAGCGTGCATCTTTGGGATTAGAATAGCAGTCGACATGAACGTCAACGAACTTTTGGTCATAGGGGATTCCGATCTATTGATACACCAAGTTCAAGGGGAATGGTCCACTAAAAATGTCAAGATCCTTCCATACATGCATTGCGTAAAAGAGCAATGCAAGAAGTTCATAGAGATTGAGTTCAAGCACGTTCCCAGGATTCAGAATGAGTTCGCAGATGCCCTCACAACCCTATCGTCCGTGATTCAGCATCAAGACAAGAACTACATTGACCCTATCGAGGTAGAGATCAGGGATCAACATGCCTATTACCTCAATGAAGATGAAGAGCCAAACGGTAAACCGTGGTACCTCGATATCAAGAGATTCCTTGCAACTAGAGAATACCCGGAGAATGCTACTAATAGTTAGAAGCGATCCCTCAGGAGTTTGGCGAATCAATTTTTACTTAACGGGGAAGTCTTGTACAGCAGGACCCCGAACTTGGGTTTGTTGAGATGTGTAGATGCCGCTGAGGCGACCAAGTTGTCCGAAGAAATACATGTAGAAACGTGCGGACCCCACATAAACGGGTTTACATTAGCCAAAAAGATCATGGGAGCTGGATACTTTTGGATGACAATAGAAACTGATAGTATCCGCTACGTACCAAAGTGTCACCGGTGCTAGATTCACGGAGATTTCATTCAGGTTCTACCGAATGAGTTTAATGTGATGGATTAACCCTGGCCGATTGCAGCTTGGGGAATGGACATGATTGGACCTATAGAGCCTACTGCATCAAATGGGCACCGCTTCATCTTGGTAGCCATCGATTACATCACCAAAGGGGCCGAGGCATCTATCTACAAGGCCATCACAAAGAAGGTAGTGGCGAATTTTGTCTAAAACAACATCGTCTGCTGATTTGGAATGTCGGAGTCGATCATCACCGACAATGCTTCTAACCTCAATAGCGACCTCATGAGAAAAATCTACGAGAAATTCTGAATCATGCACCGTAACTCCACAGCTTACAGACCACAAATGAGTGAGGAAGTCGAGGCAGCCAACAAGAATATCAAGAGGATCCTACGAAAGATAGTGGACAATCACAGGAAATGGCATGAGAAACTATCCTTCTCCTAATTGGGTTATTAGACCACCATAAGAACATCCAATGGGGCAACGCCCTACAATGTTAGTATACGGCACTAAAGTTGTGATACCCGCAAAGGTCGAGATACCTTATTTAAGAGTCTTTCAAGAGGCCAAGTTGGACGATGCAAAGTGAATACAGGTCAGACAGGAGAAACTCATTCTCATTGACGAGAAGAGAATGGACGTAGTATGCCATGGACAGCTATATCATAAAAGGATGGTCAGTGCATTTATCAAAAGGGTGAAGCCTCGCCAATCCACATCGGGGCAGTTGGTCCTAAAGAAAATCATTCCCCATTGGGAGGAAGCCAAAGGAAAGTTTGCACCAAATTAGCAAAGTCCTTGTGTGGTTCACTGAGTATTGTCCGGTGGAGCTCTAGTCTTGGCAGAAATGGATGGAAGAATCAACACGAAGCCCATCAGCTCGGACACAATCAAGAGATACTATGTTAGAAGAAAAATAGAATTAGGTTTTGTTGTTACAGAACTACATTCAACCTAGCTTCCCACGGAGGGATACGTAGGCAACCCACTCAAGGTTCAGTTTATCCCCCTTCTTTCTTTTGTAATAGAAAATCCAAATGTCAGTCTTTGTAAGTTGCTCTGGAAATACACCGACTTGATTTCCTCAGAAAGGAATACGTAGGTAATGCTGTATTATACTGTTTTCATAACTCAGTCATATTCACTCCATTTTGACATTTTAAATTATATTTTGGGCTGAACATCATGTTTTTTTTACTGTTGCCCGAGTGGCTTGAGAGATTTCTGACTGAGTGGGGCGGAGGGATTGTGTTGTAAGGATATTATGAGATCGGGCTGCGTGTCGCAGCAGTTTGGTACTGATTTATGATTATGAGGCTGAGGGCCTGATTTGTTACGCCACGAGGTGGCTTGACATGAGGCCGAGAGCCTTTTTGATTATGCCGCGAGATGGATTGTTATTGCGCTTAGGCCGTAAGGGGCCCCTCTCGGAGTCTGTACACCCCTAGTGAGCGCGGGTACCCAGTTTGAGTGATGTGTTGTAGCCCGAGGGGATATTGTTATTTAATATTGAAGCCCGAGGGGCTGTTCTTGATCCATGTTGCCCGAGGGGCGGTTCTTGATTCATGTTATGCCCGAGGGGCTGGTTCTGTTGATATTATGCCCGAGGGGCAGTTTCTGGTACATGTTTTACCCGAGGGGCTCTTTACGTTTCTATCATTTTTACTCACTATTTTATCACTCGTTTGAAACTATTGAAAGTTGTTTTCAAAATGGTTTTACCAGAACTAAGCAAGACTTACGAAGTAAACAATTTCTGTACTGTTTTGGAAATGTACTACATTTGTTGTAGCGCTATGATGTGGCTTACATGTTTTCTTACTGCTCAGCTTTCATTTACTTTTATTACTTACTGAGTTGGCATACTCACATTACTCCCTGCACCTTGTGCGCAGATTCAGGTAGTTCTGAAACCGGTAGCGGGTGTTGATTGCTCAGTGGCAGAGTCGTTTGAGTTAGCAAGGTAGCTGCCCGATGTTCGCAGCACTGCTTTTCTCCCTCCCGTCTTCCTTAGACTGTATTTAATACATTTTTAGACTCTTGTTGTATTCATACCTTAGTAGATGCTCGTGACTTGTGACACCCCGATGTCGGGGTAGTATATTTATTCCGCACTGTTCATTTAGACTTACAATATGAGATATCTGATGAATTAAAGGCTTAAAAATGATTGTTATTGATTAAATGGTTGATTCGGGAGTTGTGTCAGCTGGCCTAGTTTCAGGATATGCGCCATCACGACCGGGTTGATTTTAGGGTCGTGATAAGTTGGTATCAGAGCCTAGGTTACATAGGTCTCACGAGTCATAGCAGATTTAGTAGAGGCTTGCGGATCGGTACAGAGACGTTTGAACTTATCCTCAGGAGAACCTTTAGGAAAAACTTCTCATTCTTGAATTCTTATCGTGTGTTTTTGATTCAGCTTGAAATGTAACTCTTTGAATTCCTTCCATGCATTTGTAAGCGCACATGAGTGCTCGGTATCAGCTGTGCATTGACGGCATGTGATCCCCTAATCGAGGGGCGAGATGTGATTTCTGTGCAATGATGTTGGGCCAGTCTGGAGGACTTGAGGCTGAGTTTTGCATGTAGCTTGAGCACTAAGGTGTTAATTGTGTGAGTATGTGCTTTTTGAATTTATATGTTCGGTAGTCCCTATTAGTGAAAGTGATGGTTGGATGACTATGTGATGAGTATGATGTGAGTGTGAGATGTGTTCAAATGATTTGAATGAGACAAGAAGGGTAGTAAGAACTATCTGGTGCTTGATTTCCATCATGATTTGATGTATGGCCCGAGTTGTAGGCGTGATTGAAGGACCTTTTCATGTTGCCTAGTTGGAAAGCGAAGTAGATTTCACGTTGTAATATGAGTTCAGACTCAGGAAGATTAAGTGACTTCGTAATGTTTATGACGGTGGAAGGGTATAAAGAGATGTTAGTTTGAGGTGAAGCAGGTGGGTTATCTCCTGCGGAGCATTTTGAAGTATGTGCGATCCTTATGTTGTTGTTGGAAGATCTCCTTTACCAGTAAAATATATGTATTGCAATTTAAATTTGGGGTCGCTTAAGAGAGTGGGCTTGACTGTTACGAGGGTGAACGCAAGATTTGCAGAAGATTTGAAGTACTATATGGGCTGTGTTACACGAGCTTATGAAGGATTGAGTTTAATCTCACTGTGGTATTATGGCAGTAATAGAGTATATTCATTATGAGTTATTGTGTGTGTCGATCTATGGCTTCGAGCCAAGTGGGGGAGTCTGCTATTCATTGGTTGATTGCACGGTTATGTGCTGTGTTGGTTCTAGTTTGAGGCATATTGGTGAATTAGTTATGGCTTACAGAGGTTGAGACCGAGGATGGCTCGAGTAAAGGATGTACGGTGCATAGAACAGGAAGTTGCTTGGTTGCAATAAGGTAAGGTTACACTCTGCGGTATTGGAGTGCTATTGGCGCACAGGTCGTCTGGTCCGTTTGATCGGTCTAATTACGGTTTGAGTAGAGTGGATGACTCTTGAGAATTGTTCTAATGGGTTCAAGATTTTACATGTAATAATTGGAGATTTTCAAGTTGTATATTTGGCTAGAAACTGAGGTTTGCATTAGACGATGTCAAGACTCGTGGTATTGCTATATCATTATGGGATTCTATATATCAGTATCAGGAAGGTAAAGGTAATGGCTTTGGATTTGCAGGAAGTCCCTTCAGGGTAGGTATCTTGAATGTGGTGCTTTTGGGAAAATTTAGGAGAGTATTCAGTGGCTCATGAGCCTTAGACGGTGTGGTTTTATGCTTGGGTCTCGTGTGGTGTGTCTGGGTTGAGGAATTGTGGTGTTATAGAAAGAAGGAATATCAAGTCGAAGGTAAATGAGGAGGAAACTCGGATAGATGGGATAGCTTGGTAGTAGGCCGGATCGGCATGGTAAGGATATGATTAGTTCCTCGGATGCTTACGAGGTAATGAGTTTCTGCAGGTGTTTCGTGGCAATGCTCTTGGGTTTTAGTGGCCTGCGTAGCTTGGTTGAGTTAGAAGGATTCAGTCCTGACGGTTTAGTTTTGTGCAAACGGAATTCGGGGAGTTCTTGATAGTTTCTACCACGGTTAGAGATGTATAATTATTGCTACGAGCGTGAGGAGCATGGGATGTGTAGTATTTTTTTTTTATATAGATGGGATCAATGGGAAGTTCTTGGCTAGTTGAGTACGTAGCTGCTTATGGCTCGGAAGGGATGTGAAGTTCTCATGTTTATCCTAGGATGGTATGGTATATGCGGTATGTTGTGTAGGATTGAGATTTGCATGTGTAAGGTCACGGTTCAGTTTTGAAAGGAAGGTCACAAATTCTTAGGTAGCATAGACAGTTCAGATGACTAGATAAATGAGATCACTGATTGGTGTGGCTTGATGGGGGTATACATTTTAGTAAGGGTGATGCGTTTGAGTTGAGGATACTTCATTAGTATTGTGGCGCTCTCTTGTTGGATCGACTGCTGATATTCGAGTTGGTTGGTGGCATAGAAGAATTATAGGAGTACCTATCGTGGGATGATTGTGTATTAGAAGTGTGTTGTATATTCGGACGGTGGAGTTAGGACCGTATATGGTGATTCGCGTGTTGTGTGGATTTGGAGACTAGGATTTCTCATAAACAGGTTAGGTCGTGGTTGTGGACCGCGTATATCGGTCTTGTGTGGTAACGGTTGGAGGTTTGAAGACCCGAGTGGAT